CTTGAAGTCTGGTTTGACGTTGTTCAGAAGTTTCTTGTTGTCTATATCCAGCTTGCCTTGATGATTCTGACTGAACTCTGGCTTTGTGCTGCTCAACAGTTTCTTGCTGTCTTTGAGTAGCCTGCCTTTCAGCTTGAGCTCGAAGTTTAACTTTACGTTGTTCCAAAGTCTCTTCCTGTATTTCAGCAGCCTGTCTTGCAGCTTGTGCTTGAAGTCTTTGATTGCGTTCTTCTCCCGCCATAACGCTTTCTATGTACAAAACGGGCTTATATTTGTATGTTTATTACAAAAAACTTATTACAAGAAAATGGCGTTTCAGGCTCAAAGGATAAGACAAGCTCAAACACGATCTAATTTCAAATAAAGCTTTGTTTGATTAAATGCTTTTTTATTTCTCGCATCACAGCCTTTGTCTACTTACTGAATAATTTGTTGAAAAAAATACTAATCTATTCATTTCAAATCTAAATTTTCACCGTGCAACGCCGGGTAACTCAGCTAGTAGTATTATAAAGTTCTGATGACTTGTTGAGGAGATATTTAAAATACCATTACGATTAACAATCCGTCCCATCCCTACACAGGCAATACTACCGCATGCCTGATATTTTCAATTGCTAAGTCATGAAAGAGTGAAATTCGTAGTATTTGTTTCCAATATGTGTTACTTTATCTAAAACAAAATATTAAAATAAGACTGTAATTATAGCCTAGTGGGCTTTTTCACAGTCTTTTTTTAAGTTGATGCATTTGAATGTTAAACTGCTGCTCATGGTTTCTTCAGATTCGAGGACTGTAACTTACAATTATTGAACTCACTAAGATTTTTTAGTTACCTTGAACACGAGTGTTTTTTATTATAGCAAAGCCACATCGGGCTATCTGATTTTAGCATTGTAAATCTGTAGACTTTCCGCTGTCCCAGTGGGGGAGGCTTGAACACGAGAACTGTATCTAAATTATCTGCACTTAGTTACAGTCTTGACTACTTTCCACATCAGGACTATAGCATAAACTTACACCACTTAGTAAAAGTTGAAAAAGATGACTGTTGTTTACAGTTACTATACTTAATTACATTCTTGGTCACTTAACACAAGAAGACTGTATCTTACATTTACTACACTTAGTTACCTTAGACACGAAAACTGTAGCTTATAGTTACTGTACATAGTTACAGGTTTGGTTACCTTAGACACGAAAACTGTAGCTTATAGTTATTGTACATAGTTACAGGTTTGATTACCTTAGACACGAAAACTGTAGCTTATAGTTATTGTACATAGTTACAGGTTTGATTACCTTAGACACGAAAACTGTAGCTTATAGTTATTGTACATAGTTACAGGTTTGGTTACCTTAGACACGAAAACTGTAGCTTATAGTTATTGTACATAGTTACAGGTTTGGTTACCTTAGACACGAAAACTGTAGCTTATAGTTATTGTACATAGTTACAGGTTTGATTACCTTAGACACGAGAATTGTCATTTGCAGTTATTGTAGTTAAAGTCTTGGATATCTTGGACACAAAGGCTACTACTTAAAACTAATGTGCTTGGTTACAGTCTTGATTATCTTAGACACGAAGACTATAGCTTATAGCTACTGTACTTAGTTACAGTGTTAGATACATTGGACACGATAACTGTCACTTACATCTACTGTACTTGGTTATAGTATTGAAATACTTGGACACGATAACAGTCACTTACACTTACTGTACTTGGTTACAGTATTACAGTACTTGGACACAATAACTGTCACTTACACCACTGTACTTGGTTACAGTATTAGATTACTTGGACACAATAACTGTCACTTACACTTACTGTACTTGGTTACAGTATTAGAGTACTTGGACACAATAACTGTCACTTACACCACTGTACTTGGTTACAGTACCGGATTACTTGGACACGATAACTGTTACTTACACTTACTGCACTTGGTTACAGTACTGGATTATTTGGACACAATAACTGTCACTTACACCACTGTACTTGGTTACAGTACCGGATTACTTGGACACGATAACTGTCACTTATACCACTGTACTTGGTTACAGTAATGGATTACTTGGACACGATAACTGTCACTTACACTTAGTTACAGTATTAGATTACTTGGACACGATAACTGTCACTTATACCATTGTACTTGGTTACAGTATTAGAGTACTTGGACACAATAACTGTCACTTACACTTACTGTACTTGGTTACAGTACTGGATTACTTGGACACGATAACTGTTACTTACACTTACTGCACTTGGTTACAGTATTAGAGTACTTGGACACAATAACTGTCACTTACACCACTGTACTTGGTTACAGTACTGGATTACTTGGACACGATAACTGTCATTTACACTTACTGCACTTGGTTACAGTAATGGATTACTTGGGCACGATAACTGTCACTTACACTGACTGTACTTGGTTACAGTACTGGATTACTTGGACACGATAACTGTTACTTACACTTACTGCACTTGTTTACAGTACTGGATTATTTGGACAGATAACTGTCACTTACACTTACTGTACTTGGTTACAGTAATGGATTACTTGGACACGATAACTGTCACTTACACTTACTGTACTTGGTTACAGTACTGGATTACTTGGACACGATAACTGTTACTTACACTTACTGCACTTGGTTACAGTACTGGATTATTTGGACACGATAACTGTCACTTACAGTTACTGTACTTGGTTACAGTACTGGATTACTTGGACACGATAACTGTTACTTACACTTACTGTACTTAGTTACAGTACTGGATTACTTGGACACGATAACTGTTACTTACACTTACTGTACTTGGTTACAGTACTGGATTACTTGCACACGATAACTGTTACTTACACTTACTGTACTTAGTCACAGACTCGGATACCTCGAACACAAGGACTCTGATTTACAGCTAATACGCTTGTTTACAATATTGGTTATCTGAGCCATAGCATGTATGACAAGCCTCATCAGGTGGACAGGCGCTGTTTTAGTTGTTATCAAACAATTTATGTGGCAGGAAACAGGTTGGTATACTCAACTTTTTAAGTACAATGGATTATCAATACTATGAATTGGTTATAACCAGGGATGCACGGGTACCCGGTCAGATATTCGGCCCCGGCCGTGTATTTGGCTACCTGGTAATACTCGGCTCAAATACTCGAAGTGTCAATGTTAGGCATCTAAGCCCTATTCTTTGTGGCAACTAACGCGGTACTGATGGTTGCAGTCAATAATTGGTTTAGTTAAAAACAAAAAACCGTGATCCTAGCAACAAAGACTGACCTCCCGCTGAAAGTCGGGGATTCAGAGAACAATAGGGGTTAATTGGATTTCTTGGGAAGTTGGGGTTTTTGAGAATAATATTTTGTGCCGTTGCTGTACTGTTTTTGTTTGTCTAACTTGAAACGTTCAACATGTAAATACTATTCGTATATCTATAATTCTATGATACATATGGACCTATATATAACACCCCTTTGCTCTGACTTAACTTGGGGCCCGAGAGCTTAATCCGGCTCTGGATACATTAATTATAAATACGAGTAATGAGAAATAAACAAGCTGTTCAGTGACTGAAATTTAATGAAGTATTCAGAGTACAGGGATCGAGAGAAGATTGACCGAGTGTACTTAATCTGTAAGTTAGTTCTCCTGTAAGCTTAACCAGTAAGTTTTTCAGCCTTTGGTATCAATCAAGGAAATTTCTGTTAAATGTTATTAGTTTATTAGGCCTATAAGTTATAACTTGCGTCAGAATTACCGTAGACTGTAGCAAGCGTTATTGTAAAAATAAATAGGTTCGTTATCGTTACGAGGACTTGACTTTGTATTATTCCTATCAAATAATCCAAAATAATTTACTCAACGATAGAATACGTTTCAACAATATGAAGACATTAAGTTTGGATAAAATATTCAAAAGATCTATGTTTATTCAGCTGAAATCCAATACATTTAAAATAAGAAAGACGTTTATATACTAATCAAGTTGGTCGTTTGGTATTTTTGGCGCAAAGCAACAAGGCTATCTGCGCCATATATTAATCACACAAAGGCATTTGTGGTGAAAAAGAAAACTCGTGCTAAACATGGACACGTCATGCGCAAACAGAAGACTGGCAAATTAGACAATGTGAGTCACGACCTAAACACCATCACATCTGTATAAAATTAAGCATTAAAACAATTAAGTATGGTAGTTTTTAGCCATAATTTTTGTTCCGATCACAAATAGAAAAAGTATTAACTTGTTTTAGTTTCTCTGCACCTCAGTGTGAGTTTGATATGCTATTTGTTATTATACATGGTTCTATTAAGTTGTATTTGTAGAATCATCTGTCAGAGACAGATCACACAGTACAGTCTTCCCTCTCTCTGTGCTACGTTTGTTAAACCTAACATGCCATTAGGCAGTCGTAGGAATTGAGATTTGAAGCCCAGCTCAGCCGTGAAAAAATAAAAACAAACAAACGAAGAAGTAACATTTTTCTTTTGAGTAAGTTCAAGACAACTGAGACGGATTTTTCTTATTTCTTATTTTTGTAACTATATAAGCTTTTAACTGATATTGTTTTCTATGGTTTTAAAACGCGATGTAATAAACTTCAGCCTATTTAGCAAATAGTAAAAAGTGTTATTCTAATTTAAATTGTTTCATTGCTGTTACAGTGTCTCTCCGTATCGAAAAAGTAGTGTCTCAGTTTTTACTCTGGAAATGTGATAGCCCTATATCTATAAAAATATGAATAATTGGACAACACATCCACCTTGACATTCGTAAAATTTCTCAGCAAACAATAATTTAAAGGACCACTTATTTTCAACTCTACAAATAGAGCGACTAGTCACGTGACGTTTTTAACAGTTAATCATTGGTGCAGAGCGGCTAAAGTCAAGCACCTGTCCTACTTTTGTGTTTACTCTGCTAGATCTGAAAGTTCGGCAACTGCCGCAAGGAGAAACATTGAGGTGACGTGGCACAAATCTTGGCAAAGAGAGAGTAAGCATATTAGGTGTAGCGGCAAAAAAGGAGGTTTAGACATATTTAAGGTTTGCATTTGACAGGTTCTACCAATCACTCTGTGCTTTGTTCAGGTAAGCTTTAATCCTGAAGATATACTCGTATTAGATAAACACTTTAAGTGTTATAACAAAATTTCGATACATTTATTTAATATACTTTTTACGTCTATTTACTTAAGTTCAATTTTATAATACTTGGATTCATATAAATTACGTCACCAGCAATACTACTACAGTATTAAATTGTGCTGTTAGTGTTAATGAATTTAACATATTCTCAATTATTTCGTCACGCTATTTTTTAGCGAACGGATATCTTCCCAACTATATTAGTAAATAAATAGCTAATAAAAAGTTTACTGAAACATTAGACAGGCCACGTTGTACTTTAGTAGATGGAAATTACTAGTAGGAAATTTATTTCTGAAATTATTAAAAAAAATCACTATTGCGAAATAAAAAACCCAGCAAGAAATACTTGTTATCAGAACTACACATTAGATACTGTTGAACTTTTTTTATGAGGTTGTTAACAGTTAACATAATTGACAGTTTTAACTCTCACTGTTGTTAACTGGAGAGGTGGGAACTGACAGTAAGGAAAATATGTTTTCTTATATCTTTCGGGCCTTTTCTGTTCCTTATAACGTTTTTCACTTTTTGATCATTCAAGGCTCGCGTTATATTGAATTCTAATTCAGAAAATGAAAGTTCCACATTGCGAGTATTACATACTTTACAATTCATATACGTACTAAAATTCTTAATTTACCAATTTTGTATCAATGTCAATTCCTTGACGCAGTGAAAAAGTGATAATTTCTGTTGTTTTGGTTACAAAACGCGACTGTAGAACTGGATTTGTGTAAAATTTAGACAAATATATTTGTTCAGTGTTGCCCTTGCATGTCTCAACCCAGTGTTTCAATATACACATCGTATCTTGCTAAAAGCTAGTACCTCCCACTAATTATCGACAAGGCATTTATTTTAGTAAACAAATCAGCGTTGTGGGAGGTTAGTAGCTTTAAAACAATCTATATTATACTTTCCCGTGCGTTAGTTCTTGTTGAACGCGAATTTTATCAAATTGGGGAAAGCCGACATTGTTGGGCTAACACACAAATTTCATGTAAAGTCAATAAGTAAAAGGAAATCATTCAGATAAAGCATTTTTTTTATATTTTAAACAAAAAGTCAGTAAAACCATTATAGTTCAATAATTACACTCACTCCTCATCGATAGTAAACAGTTACGTCTTGCACCATCGTACTTGACACTTTGGTCAGCTACAGTGTCGGTCTTTAAATTATAATTAAAGTTTTTTTCATCTTATGCGTTATCATACATCATTAATATGAGCTTACTGTTTGCTTAGCATCAGTGTTTGTGTTAATAATGCTTTATTACATTTATATAATGTAGTCAAACTTTTATTTACTTGTAATGTATATGTGATGTGCAGTTTTCGTCATTACTGAACAAAGAATATTTACTGTTCAAAATATCAGCAAAAAAGAAAGCAAAACAAAAGAAAAATTGATTTGACCTTCGTTGAAGAACTCCATTACCGTCCTTACTAAGTTTGAAGCCCGTTATTATTACGACACTATCAAACAGCCTTACAGCAAATTTCTTTGGTAATTATTATGGTCATATCGAAACGAAAACACGAGAAACAATGATACATCCAAACACCGTGAACGGAGGAAACTTTGACAAAATAAGTGTATGAAAATCGAAAATAACCGAAATATTTTGAAAAAACGGCATAAAAATGACATGAATCTATGAAATGTACCATAGAAAACTATATAGAAATGTTGTGATTCGAAGTTACATATACGTAAACAATATAAACATTGGGCAGCTGTTTGATAATTGTTCTATCATTTGCTAATAAAATCACCCGTTACTTCTTATGACAGAGAATAAACCCAATGTACGAGTTCATGTTCCAGCAAATTCTTGTTTCATGGTATATCATGTCTTTTATTAAATTAAAATATTTCAAGATGTTATTGTGTCGAACAAGAAAATACTGGCGTTTTTACATTGCTGGATGCTTTTTTTGTAGTTGCATATTTGTCTCAAAATAACTCGGTTATTCTATATAGTCTGTAATGTTTTTGGTGTTTCAGAATTGTTTATAACCATATATATATATATATATAATTTGTAAATGGCTGAGAAGTCGCTAAAGCAAAACAAAGAATAACATTTGTAGAATATAAAAACGAAAACGTTGAATCGTAAAGCATGTTTCTCTCGTTCTTTTCTGTGTTTCCTTTTGATCACGCGAGTTTAAAAAATGCGATATTCTGTATACTTGTGTCTCAATCACTTGGTAGTTGTCTAACGCACAAGTGTTGCAAAGTTTATTCGCTAAATTTAGATTTTTTTACAGCCTGCAGCTTCAGGTGACCTCATTATTTGTACAAGAACTAGATTTTAAATAAGCGGTGATTCGACCTGAATTTACTACATGAATGCTCTCCGTATACAAAATTATAATTCATGGCACTTTAGTATTTTTTTTCTTAAACTATACATGAGGGTTTAATTGAGAGCTTGAACAAACAGTGTGGCAGGTTTATAGTTAATCCTCTATTTAAAGACGCAGACAAAATTAAATGTAAATTTTAAGGAACTATGAGCGTGATTTATATTGTAGGTAATCCTACAAGTATGGATGGACAGTAGAGGTAGATCGTGTGGCATTATTGTGGGGAAGTAACGTAGGGCTTAATGGGAAGAAGCTTAAGATGTGGCATTACAGTGTGAAAGTAATCCAGGATGTAATGAGTAGAAGCTGTAGATGTGGCATTATTGTGTGAAAGTAATGCAGGTTGTAATAGACAGAAGCTAGAGATGTGGCATTATTGTGCGAAAGTAATGCAGGGTTTAATGAACAGAAGCTGGAGATGTGGTATATCTGTGTGAAAGTAATGCAGGATTTAATGAACAGAAGCTGGAGATGTGGCATTATTGTGCGAAAGTAATGCGGGGTTTAATGAACAGAAGCTGGAGATGTGGTATATCTGTGTGAAAGTAATGCAGGATTTAATGAACAGAAGCTGGAGATGTGGTATATATGTGTGGAAGTAATGCAGGATTTAATGAACAGAAGCTGGAGATGTGGTATATCTGTGTGAAAGTAATCCGGGAGTTAATGGACAGAAGCTGGAGATGTGGTATATCTGTGTGAAAGTAATCCGGGAGATAATGGACATAAGCTGGAGATGTGTTATTTATTGTGTGACACTTTTGGTGGAAAATATAATCATCAATAAAGTCAAATAACATTAATGGTGATATACTACTCGGCGTCTGCTCAAAATGGCATCAGTAATAATATAATGTGGGAAAACGTCATTCGTAGTAATGAAATTGGTAAAAATGAGAGGAATTTTATTATGAAAAATCATGGACATAGAATTTTGCTATGTTATTATTTTTCCGTTTAAAAAAAAAGAAGTATACAATTGTTATAATGCATTTTTTCATTACTATCGGTGCCATTTTTACCAGTGCCATTTAGTGTTCGTTCTATACATCCATGGGGCTATTAAGGTTACATAGGAATTATGGTGAAACGTGCTACTTTAATTAAAATGTTGTTGACTTTGTTTCATTTTGTTATTAACAGGTTCATAGCTAAGTATTTTGACATCCATAGAACAGTTTGCTACGATAAACCACATACATAGTTATTATACATACATATTAGTGAATTTTAATGGAACTGAAGTAAAATTTCTACTCAGATCTTCAAGGGCAAACTTGAATATATAACGATACCGTAACTTGTTTGTACAATGGTTTTTCCTGTTTCGAAACTTAGTGGGAAAATTACTTCTTGGTTGAAATCATGGACGGAACTTAACACTTATGCAGATTCTCATACGAATAACTGGCTCTGGACGGATACTTAGTAAGAAGAATGGTGTAATGGTACTTTTTTGCAGCCCTTTGTTCTGTCCATGTATCAAACTAGACTGACTCTTGTATATTTCAGGTATGTTTCGTAATGCGTTATACTTTTTTTTTCAGTTATGCCACTCAAACGTTTTGGAATAGTTTGGGCATTCTACTTATTGTTGTAACGTTGAACTTTTGTTGAGCTGGCTGTTTTAGATTATTTGGTGAAAATAAGGACAAGTCCAGTCCACGTATCGACAACAGATTAGTTTATTTACTCCGTAACGTTGGCTACATCAACCTCACTTGGACATAGTTGTATTTGTAGGCTTGAGTTCACAAATAACGTTTCACTTTCAAATTCAACAGATTTGCTCGGTGTTTTCCAGACTTTTTGGCGCTACCTCCTGGGGACGCGTACTGGTGGTTGGAGGGGTGGGGGCAACCTTTTGGAGTGCCCAAAAATAACAACGGAAGAAACAGAAGAGTTGGAGACAACGATAACCAAACAAAACTGTCACTATTCTCAAAGCTTCTATTATTTTGCTCTTGCGTTTACTCACTCCTTACAAGCGTTTTTTTTTTTTCATTAAAAAAAGTATAAAAAATTGGCAAAGAAAATGTCGGTTTTGCTGTTATTATTTTAATGTGAAGGGGAGACTCTTTTGAGTGAGTCTTTCCCTGAAAGAGAGTACAGAAGGTCCAATGGTACTTTACATTTTCCACCAATATAGTGATGATGGTGTTTTGTCTGTAGCTTCTGACCATTTGGTGAAATAGTACATCAAAACCATGATGTAGCTATCCCTACTGTTGCTCTGAGGCTGAGTACCAAAACACATTGATAGCAATTCTCCCAAATGGTGCTCCAAAACATACATGCAACATATTTCACTGATCTTTACACTCATAAGATAAATCAAAATATTTACACCAATTCTCTTCATGCACCCAACCCAGTAGAAGTGCTTTTTTTACCCTCTCTAGTATCTTCTTAACACCTAACTGTCCAGTCATTGGAAGGCTGAAGAGATGATGGAGTGTTGCAAAAGTTAGAGACTGTGGAAGTACCATTTGTAGTCATTGGTTTTCTTCACTAGTATCTTCCCATTTTCTAGATATTATCAAATTAGCATAATAAATCCCACTG